AAAATTACTTAATAAAAAAATAAATTGCACTTTTTAGAATTGTTTATACTTTTACACTTTTTGCAAGTACAAAAATCCATAAATAGATGTTGCAAAATATCTCTCCTGCTGACAAGATTATACCAATTCACAATGACACAGCTCACGTTTGTATAAACATGAGCGGGCTAGATTTTTAAATTAATGCCGACTGAGACGGGATTTTCCTCTCGCTAACAAGAGCGGGCGATGACAGTAGCACAGCAACGATGTTAGGATTTTTAAATAAATAGATCTAGATATAGATCTATCTTCTTAGTATCTAGATAAAAAATAACAACATACAACACTCGTGTTAAACGGTATGGCTAAATGCTTGTTTATTTTAAAACAAAAAAAAAATAATTTAAATAAATAAAGATGGAAAAAAAAGGAAAAAACTTTTTTTTCGCAAAAAGTGTCTCGCTATTTACCCTTAATTCCGCAGGTATGTCTCGCATTACCTTCTCGCATTTTCTCGCCACGCCATTTCGCTTTTCGCGTCTCGCAATTTCCCCACACTCGACAAAAACTCCACGGTCCGTAGCCGTAGTTTGGAGACCCCTGACTTATACTAGATCTAGATCTATAGCCTACTTATTATTACTACTTAACTAATAACTAGATCTAGAAATCCAGATTATCTAGAACTATACCTCCAGTAGATAAATATAGAATCTAGATTTAGATCTAGACTAGTAGGTTTAGATACAGATGTAGATCTAGCTCCAACTTAAAACTTAAAGAACTTAAAACGAAAGAAATATCAGATCTATTGACATAGATGATTTATTTATAGAATCTAGATCTAGATCTAGTTGATAGAGATTTAATAAACTTTAAACCTTGGACTAGATTCTAGGATAGAAATGTAACTTGACTATTTATATAGTATTTAAGTAATAACTATGCAAATATAAGAAACATTTCACAATGTTGAATGTTTGACGTATGATATGACGTAGATCTAGATCTAGATCTAGATTTATGTGCTTTTCACCTCGATTTAATTTAAAAGAGAACAATACAATATATTCTCAGTGAGTTTTCTGAATCGATTCTAAAAGCCTACTTTTTTAAAGTACTATCTAGATCTATACTGTAGATTCAATAGGGAGAGTGTTGAGTGTTGAAGACCAGTAGAAGAGTGACTCAAGAGATAAGTGTAAGTAATAATTTATTAATAGGCCTAGCCTAATATTTAATATTTAGTAGGTAAGTACTAAGTAAGTAAGTAGGCCTATTTATTTACTATCTGGTATCTATTTACACTATTTAGGCATAATAAATAAATAATATATTTTTTATAAATATTAGGCCCAAATGTGCCAAATGATTTTAATAACATAATATTATAAATATAAGACCTAATTAATAATAATAATGCTAGAAATAACTTATGACCACTAATAGTAACTATAGTGTTACTTTAGGTAGGCCTAGATATCTGTACTTTCTATAGTATTCTATCTATAGGTATAGGCCTTATAAGTGTATTAGGTCTTGGTCTATTTATAGAATTTAAGGTTAACTTTGTAGGATTAGAACGATTGACAGCCCTTATTATTAGGTTTTATTAATTATTTGATACAGTCCGCCCTAGATCAGAGGCATAGCGAGGGGGTGGGCAGGGGGTGTGGACGGCACCGGTGAACACCATTTAGAGAGGTGACACCAAGGCAAAAAAATAGCAAGATATATAGAGAAAAACTTGATAAGCAAAATATAGTGCCCTATACAGAATAAAATGATTGTTCCAGATTATAAATGATTAATTAGAATAGAGTGGGGTATGTAAACCTGCTACATCCAGCTGTATTAATACTGAATATAGATAAACATTGCTAGTATTTATCTGTGCAAAGTTAAAGCTATCAACCGGGGGGGGGGGGGGGGGGGGGGGGGGGGAGGAGGAAGATGTTACTCCAGCTAAATGTTGCAAAATTTGCCTGAGGAAAAAGTTTTTGTTTAGAATTGTAATAACTGATACGTCAATCCACATGTGGGGTGGGGGGGTGACACCAAATTTTATAATTTACTCCACAAACAATGATTTTTCTATATGAATTAATAACTATAAGAGTTATTTAGGCCCTCTCTGCTTTTCTAGGAGGATTAATATAAAATTTGCATGAAATTAAGGCCATTTGACAAAAAGTTAAAAGTTAGGGGGGATGACACCAAATACATTGTCCACTGAAGTGGATTGGGATGAAACCACATTGAAAATTTATAAATCTTCATATCATTTGATCAAACAAATTGTTATACAACACCCCATGAGTGTGTAAGTGTGTGTATTTGTATGTGTGTTTGTGTAAACATGTGACACCAACAGAACAATAGTTGTACATTTTATATATATATATATATATATATATATATATATATATATATATAAAATATAAATTTATAATTATTTTTTTTTTACGGGGGAGGGGGCTGATGCTAGGTGACACCCAAACTTGCTACGTCACTGCCCTAGTTGATGCTTGTCTATTTTAATGAAAGGTGTGATACATATTAAAATTATGACTAATCTAGACCTAACCTCATTTAAAATTTCAAGATTGAGAAGTTTATCCACAATGCCAAGACTAAACTCAATTACAATAATCGTGTCTTGTCTGAACCTGTTCATTATCACGGCAGGTGAGTAGGACTAATTTACTATGTAATGACTAGCAGAGTTTCTTTCAGGCATGTCTATGTGGGATACGGGAGGTGTAGCAATGCTTGTCCCTCCACCCCTGACAAAGTAGTTTAAATAGAAAAAAATATTTAAATCTATTGGCCTGTATCTACTAAAACTTTATTGTTTACATGTTTGTGTATTAATTTGCTTTTTTATTTGTCGGTCCTGCATCTGCACAATGTGTGGAATTTTAAAATACATATTTATATTGAGAAAAAAATTCTGTTTTCAAAATTTGTTATACACAAATTTATTTTCAAATTTATATTAAATTAATGATTTATTCAAATTATAAAAAAATGTACTTTAAATATTCTAATTATACAAGTTGCGAACTAATATCTTATTTTCACAATATTAATTAGACTTTCTGAATATGAAGGAAAAGGGTGCTCAGCACCATGCTCAGTCGAATTTTGTTAACTGAAGTATGGGGGTCTGGATTTTTGTGATGATGTGGTCAGGAGGAAGCTAAAAAAAAATGTCAAAGAAGCATGACATCATATATGAATGACCCTTAAACCCATAGTTAACCAAAGGATAATGGGTAGTCTAGTATATCTTAAAAACTCCCACCCCTCCACTGACATTTAAGTAAGTGATGAATCAAATGGTATCTGGTAAGGTGAAGAAAAATCTCTGAAAGAAACACTGATAATAAGCAATTATACATTTACCATTTTCTAGATTCTACTCTCGTTTTCAAAGATGATAATTAGCCAAACTATTCAAAATTGTTATGAGGCTTCATATATTTAATTGAATAAATTAATTATTACAATAATAATTATTATTTTTAAAGCCTATCTGTTAGAAATGGAAATAAGTCTTCCATAGAAATTGTCACACTCCTAGAGGGGGAGGAGTTTTTGTGAAGGATAGGGATGGGGTGGTTGGGTTAGAAAGTGGGATGACCAACTTAAGCATTCTATTTAACCTTTACTGTTTAAATAAAAACTAAAAAATTCTGACTTAAATTTTAGCTGCACTAAAGGCCCTCAACTGCACCCAGCCCACCATATACAACAGAACAGCCTCTATAAAATGTTCATCAGAGGTTGCAGACAGAATGAAGGATTGCAAATTTTATATTAACACAACAGTAAGTTGTAGATCTATATGTGTATAGTTTTTATTAGATTTGTGAACATTTAAAAGTATTTTATTTATTAGCTTGGTTATTGCCTAGTAGCCATGTATACAGAAGCAAGACGTTTTCACTGAACATTACCTCTAGAGCAATTACCCCCTGTCAACTGTCCCCTGCCCAGTTAGGGATAAGTTAGGGTTAGGGATTGTGTTATGGTCAGGGTTTGATGAAGATTTAGAGTTGGGGTTTGGATTGATGTTGGGGTTACGGTTAGCTATAGGTTTAAGGTTAGGGTTAGTGTTCTTCAGTATGGGGGGGGGGGGTGTAATTACCCAGGGGGTAACTAATGTGGAGGGGGAGGATAATGTTATAGACCCATAGTAAACACAGCCAAGAAATATACAGTACTTATAATTATGACAATGAAATAACTATCATATATATATATAAATAAATAAATAAATAAATATATATATATATATATATATATATATATATATATATATATATATATATATATATATATATATATATATATATATTAAATCTTGTAGAACATGGCAGTAATTGACAGCTTCTTTGAAAATGCTACTGAAATCAACACTACACTACTGGATGGATTATTCCAGAACAACTGTAGCCTCCAAATTCCACTTTTGAATCTAGGCCCTGGTCAGCACCAGATTTCAGCCAGAATGACCCTTGATACAGCAGCGGGAGAAATGGTGGACATCAGCCCTTCTTTTGAGATTAAGCTAAACTGTAAGTGGACACATACCATAAAATACTCTTGGTTTTTTTTTTTTTTTTTTTTTTTAAATGTGCACTTAAAATTTATTTCCTTGCGTTTTTTCCTTCACAAAAACTAAAACACATTAACCATATTTCTGTACAAAATGTTGGACTCATTTCTAAATTATTATCTTTAACATAATCAGCAAAAAGATTCTACATCCTCTGAACATGTCTATCATTCATCCGAATTTTAAAATTAATTGTGCATGATTTAATTACTATAAATGATCTGCTGAATATCGGTCAAATATCCAATTTGTTTTATTATTGAAACAAACTGTGGCTTCTAATTTGTTAACATTCGACTGTAATATATTAATTTAGGAGTTTTTTGGTTTGTATAGCAAAGTCAATCTTTAAAAAACTTAAAACCTAATTTATGTGCTTTTGATTTGTTTCCAGCTGACCTGAAGAATGTTTCTTGCAACAGCCTCTCGTTCAATGACAGAGTAGAGACACTTTCATGCAGTGCAGATATGGTGTATTTAAATATCAACTGTGATTTTAATATCACACTGCAGGTATTTCAATACCCTATCTTGAGATACACAATCTTGTTTAGTTATTGTTTAAGTTAAATCTTCTTTTATCATTCTATTAACCTTGTGAGCGTCATTAGGGCACCAATGTTGACTTTTCATAAATTTTTGTCACCCTTCCCCATTTTATGCTAATTTTAGGAATTGGTCTAGAGATAGTCCTGTCCATTCTCTTATGATCTCCATCCATTTTAGTTTTATTTATATATTTTAGATATATATATATATATATATATATATATATATATATATATATATATATATATATATATATATATATATATATATATATGTATATATGTATATATATATGTATTTGATTATCATGCAAGTATTTTCCCTTATACATACAAAAAGAATAAAGAAGCTTTTTTCCCCTTATTTTTCTGTAGTCTACCACCTTATATATCTAAATAGCTAAGTATATATAAAACTGTATATTTGTACTTTTAGTATTTATAAAATGTAGTGCTATATTAGATAATTCTTCAACTCTATCACTTAGTTTAATACCCATTAAATTTAAAAGAGTTCCCTAGTCTTGCATCTAAATATATTAGTAAATTATCTACACAATTTCCCCAAAAAAAAACCAATATATCTTATCCTCTGCTGTCTTAAATCAATTATTTTAAGTATAATTGTTTTCCAATATTGCTCCTGTACATATTTTTAATCTAACCTGTAAATAGGATCAGCGTATAGAGAGGCAAGCTCCTGGCAGTGTGTCCTACGCTAGTGACATTACAACACAAAACAACAAACTGGTGTACAAAGACAGGTGTATGCTGACTGTTCCATTTGAAAACTTAACTGCTGGATGGCATTCATATTCTTTAAACATGGCACTCATGAATGGCTCAGACATCATTGATGTTAAAAACAGCTCATTTGGAGGTGTAAAATATAGTAAGTATTTGTTTTATCTAGAAATAATATTTATGGTAAGCGTTGAGCAGTTGAGTGCCTTCTTGCATCTTAAAGTTAAGTTAAAAAAATGTTTTAGTTTTGATTAGAACGATAGAGACATAATATATATATATATATATATATATATATATATATATATATATATATATATATATATATATATATATTCCATTTGTCTGTGGATTAATTTGGATAAACACAGCAGTTTATTGAATTCATGTATTTATTTAACCACCTTGCTTAAGATGTAATGTTTTTAGAACTACATTTCTTACTGTTAATGACGAGAGACTGGAAGTGTCTATCAGACTGGAGTCTGGCATTATAAAAGAGTGCCGTTGTTAAGTGAATGTTTTAGAGTGCTACTCTGTCCATCTCAATTACACACACATAGACAATATATGTAAATCTACATCACTTTTTCTTCATGCCAAACACAGGCTTGGATAATATGTGCTAATCTAAGACAATTTCTTTTGTCTTTCTCCTCCAGCGCTGCCATCCACAGACTTAGACCCAACATGTAAATCACAGGGTTCCAGGCCCATGTATCCTGGAGAAACTAGGACTTGTAACTGTAACATCACCAAACCAGGCTCTGAAGGCTATGCTGGCTGGTACTTCAATGGACTGGTGGAAGTCATCAAAAACTTGACAAAACCTGTTCCAGGAACTCAGTTTACAATGCTGAATGTTTCATATGAAGATGTTGGTAAGCTGAACTAGGCAGAGACATAGCTTTTTTTATTTTGCAGAAACCTTCCTTTTCTATTTAAAATGAACAACAGGGAATGGGAACTCCATTTTAAATACTTAAAGTTTTTAAAATAGAGTAAAATCTCGTAGAAAAAAGAATTGTTTACACACACACACAGACACACACACAGACATATTGACAAGATTGCAAAATCATGTTTTTCCGTATCAGTGAGGTGTAAAAATTCGAGATTTGTAAAAATCTGGATTTTTAAAATTTATTTTTTAACGATTACAAGACTTTCTCTATATTTCGTATATACGAGAAAGTAAAAAAAACAAAAGTCTATATTTTTCTGAAGACCAACTTTAAAATAAAAATCTGAAAGACTGATTTCATAAAATGAAAATAAAATGTTAATTTTAGAAATAAACCATTTCCATAATGTCCATGTTTTCCTTTTAACAAAAAGTCCTTAGAGTATTAATTCCAATTTTTTTTTCATTTCAATAATTGTGTGCTTTTTACAATTGTTATATTTTCCATTACACTTGCCATAAACTCCAGAATATAATTCTTTACAAAAATAAAGAAAGACCAGGTTATCTATAATGAAGAGGTCAAAGAAATTCTCAATATTCTTTTTACAGAAAAACATCAAATATTTTTCTGTGCACCTGTGACTCGTATTGGTGGAACAAGAACATTTATATCATATTCCCCAGATCTGGCATGTACGTAATCAGTTAAATTGTATAAAATTTATACTAGATAAATTAAAAAATTATAATAAATTTATAATAATATTATATTATAAATATATATATATATATATAAATATAATATATATATACATATATAAAATAAATAATAATATAATAAATTATTAAAAAAATTGTATGTGTATTCTAGTGTTTAATTTTCCAAACAAATAAATGAACAAAAATTTTAAGTGTGCAAAATTTTAGTATTTTTAAAGTACAATTTTCAGCACACAACTAAGGGCTAAAGGAAGATAAACTAATTGATGGATACCCATTAAAATCACATCATAATTTTTTATATATATAAATAATCTGTTTTTAGACAACCAACTTTTAATAATATATATTATAAAGTGTAATATATCTTTATAAATACACCTTTAAAAAACTGCCAACAGTTTTACCGCTTTATGCCGACAAGAAATATTTACAATGCCATTAATAGTAACATCATCTTTCATTGCAATCTATAAATATTTTCTACTTCCTCAGTGGCACCAAAAATAACGAACTTCACAGTCAATGGCTCAAGCACAGATCTTGTGGTAGACCTAAACTCAATGCTTGTATTTGAATGCTCTGCTAAAGGAACTCCCAGCCCTAGGCTAGCTCTGGCAAAACATGGGGAACAGCGTGATTACTCCTTCTATGGTCTACTGATCACATATGTAAGAATGACAGACTGCAGAAAAGCTGGACAATATTCATGTCAAGCTAGTAGCCAAGGCTTCTCTGTGGCTGACACCAAATACATCAACGTGTACATGCGCTGTGAGTTTTGTTATATTCTTATAAGTTTATTGCTTTTCCTGTAAGGTGTTGTCATAATCTAATAATCTTAAGCTATTTTTATATCTTGTAATACAACGTTTACACTTGCGACATGTATACTATACATTTCTAGAAAAAAAACTTCGCAATAAGCGAGTAGGCTTCCCTATTTTCTTAGGCCCTATAGCGAAGTTAGGCCCTATAGTATACATGTCGCAAGTGTAAACGCGGTATAAGACAGTAATAGGGTTAACCAAAAAAAATAAATATGCTGAAGAGATTTAGCTCATACTTGAACACTCAGTGAGGTGAGGAGGTAGTTGACCATTTTGTTATAACTATGTATACAATTATTCCAAGATTTAAGATTCTAAAAAATGTTTATCTGTGGTACATTAATATTTAAAATGTAAAGAATATTTTTAATGATTTACTACAGAAAATATATTTTACAACGATGCAGGCCAGTTTTACAATTAGTTTGTCATCAGTTCATTGCTGGACTAAACTATGTTAGAAACTCTAGGTCATCTTTACATTCACTCATTAATGCTTGCTCAGTTAATAATGTGATTTTATTTCCAGGCCCCCAAGAAATCTATAACCGCTATACTCCCACTGAGTACTATGTGCTATTGGGAACTAGGGCTGTGGTGAACATCCAACTGATTGGCTACCCAGCACCCACCAAGCTAAAGCTGGAAAAACAAAGTGATGTCAACATGACAGACTTTACAGTAATATACACTACTGGCCCCATAGGGAATGTCATTGTTGAGTTCACTAAAGCTGAAGAGAAACACTTAGGCTGGTACAAACTTGTTGTTGGAAATGGAGTTGGTGAAGACCTCAGCTATAATTTCAATATTGTCAAAGGTCAGATTTTATTTTATGTATTTTATTTTTTATTTTTTTTTATATTTTATTTTACAAAAGTGCTAAAATAAATTATGCGTTAAACAGACATGCCTACCGACCCACCAAACGTGAAACTTTCCACCATTTTATAAAAAATCGTGTCCTTTTCTGCCATCCTGTTTTTGTCTAAGTTTTTCCCGCTTTTTCATAAAAAAATAATTAATAAAGAAGGCAAATGAAAAAAAAAAGGTAAGGGAAAAGAGATTATCTCTTGTTGAAACAGGTTTCTGTTTCCTTGTTTACTTTCAATATTTACAGGTAAAATCTACTAATAGACAATATAGACAAGCTAGCTTCTGATCATTCTTTTTTGACACCTACTATTGAAATTTAGATTTAAATTAGCCCTTAAATAATATGTAGAAATAAATATACAATAAAATCATGATTAAAATGCTAATTTCTAGATCTAGATATTAAATCTAGGTTCTAGATCTATATTGATTCTTGTAACTACTAACTTTAAACTTAGAAAAAAAGTAACCAGATCTAGATCTAGGACTTTTACTAGGTAGGTCTGAACTTATATTTTATCGGCCTAACACTCGAAGCCTTCGGCATTTGTTGTTCATTGAAAGGCAGGTCGGCGTGGTCGAGTCGGTAAAGCTCATGGTTGCTAAACCGAAAAGTCTCGAGTTCGAACCCTCGGGCAGATGAGGCTCGTTAGCTGGGGACAGCCACTCTTCTAGGAGAGACAACTCCAAAATTAAATAACTGCTGCCTTGTAGTTTGTTCTTGGTTGGACAAAGGCTATGGAAGCAAATCCAAAAAGAAAAGCAGGCTGAAATCGGAGTCAATGGCCTCAATGGCGCATAACCAGTTGACACGTAACGCTTAATTGTGTTAGAGGCGTGGTCCAGTCGGCAAAAAGCTCATGGTTGATAAATTCGAACAAAAAGTCTCGAGTTCAAACCCACTGGCAGATAAATCTCGATCCCCTTCAACACTAATAATTAAGAACGAAGAAGAAGAAGAAGAAGAAAGGCAGAAATAATCAAATTGATAATGTTATGTTAAAGCTATGGTTTTTTTGAAAGGGGTGGGGATGGGGGGTGTTCTTTTTTTAAATATAAGCTGACATTAAGCAGTATTCAAATGTAGCCTAGAGATTAGCTATATATAACAAGAGTTTTTATAAACACTATACCTATGCTTGTATGTTTGATAATCTGCATAATGTCATTAGACTTATTTTTAATTATTTATTTTTATTTTCTACTTTGTAAAGTAGCATCTGCACCTATGTTCCTTTTTTTTAGGTTCAAATTCCTCTTTTTAGATATGGCTTCCTACTTTTGGTTGTCAGAGGTTGGCATGTCTGAACAACATATTATATGTTATAGAGTTCATTGTAACCACTTTACCAAACAATATTATGGTAGGATAAAAAATTCCGGGAACAGAAATTAAAATAAAATCACATATACAAAACTTATTTAATGATTGCTGTTACTCAATCACAAAATGAGAGATTAATAAGAATTTTTTTGTGAAAGCTTTACATTAACTTTTGTTATTGGTTTTTTATTTGGCTGGTAGAGTAGCCTAAAAAATTTCTTGAATTCCTCTTGCAGGTCCCATCAACAATGTCTGCAAGCTGATGTCTTCTTATTGTGTCTTGTACCTGGCAATGGTCATGTGGGCTCTGGTGTGGAAGTTGGATTAAAATTGATTTTTAACAATTTTGGTAAAAAAAAATATTCTTAAATTTAATAGCTGCCTTAAAATTCTTGAAAATTTAATTATCATCATCTTTTCTCATTTGTGTTCAAGAGATATAGGGGAGATGAATTATATTCATTTTAGACATTTAATTTTATAAAAGCCTTAAATTCTTGCTTATTTAATCAGTCTTTACTTAGTACAGAAAATATAAGGTGTTTTTACACCCAACTCACTCAAGTTGACTAATGTCCTGGATATCTTGATCTCAACAAAAGTGTTTTTTTCACAGCATATTCAACTTCTTGATTAATGGATGCTGGATTTTTTTTCTCTGTATTAGATGTAGTTATTAAGTAGGATCTGTAACAACATTAGTTATCACCCATGTAGCCTACAATTATGTACTTCATCTAGTTAATGTCATTTGTTTTAAGCTAGCAGATAATTTTCTTACAAAAAAATATTCACATTTCATTTTCTTACAACACATTTTAAAAGGCTAAATCTAAAAACAGTTTCAATTTAAACAAAATTACTTGAAAGCTCTTTCTTAATGATACTATTTAATGTAACAAAAAGGCTTGTTTTATTAAAATATTTTTATATACATTAGTATTTTTAATCTATAATTTTTTTTAAAAATTATTACATAATTTAAAATCAATAATTACTTCTTGAAACAATCTTTAATAGGTTTTACAGTACAATATTGATTGCCCTGCAGTCAACACTTTTCATTTACAGTTGCTTTTCTACATGAAGTAAATATAAATACTACCAATATTTTTTAACAGCATGCTTTGTTTCTAGCATTTTTAATAACTGCCGAAGTTTGACCAAAAGCTGTGTCTGAACAATAACCCTAACCCTGTGGTTTTATGGTGCTAAAATATATAAAAATAATTTATTGATTTAGGAAATTTTTTTCATGATTTGGTGTTCTATTCACTGTAGTATTATTGGCGCATAATACACTTTACATTATTTTGTTAAATTTACTTAAGTAAGTTCCCTTTTCAAACCTGATGGTCTATAGGGCAAGTGAAGTAGAGTTCACTTGTTTCTGTGACCTCGGTATATGATGAGATAGTGCGGTCAACACTATGCCCAGCCGCCTTTACTTTCCCTAACGCGAGTTAGGTACCAATCAGAGTTGGGTGGACTCAGGGACGGTGTAATTTATTGAACCCGGATTCGAACTCGATACTTACGGGTTAGCAGTCCAGCTCTCTACCGCTAGACCACTCTGTCCCATATTTACTTAAGTAATACAGTAATAATACAGCAAAGAAAGTAATTTTTGCAAGTATTTTTTTCGTGTGCTGTGAAGTGTCCTTTTTGTTAACTTGAACATCCCATTGTAAGTGCATAAAATATACTGCATTTTTTTTATAATGCCAAAGAATTTTTTTTTAAGTGCCTGTTTCTTTTACAGAAAAATTACCTTTATTTTCATGTTTTGCATTCAATATTATTTAAAATTATTTTATGCTATGATTTTATTCTCAAAACGCAATAAACCACTACACTAGTGTGGCTGGCAGCACTTAAGCTGATGTAATAAAAATTGCTTAATTTTATTTAATTAATACAAAACTTAAATGTTATACAATTTTAATTATATTTTCAGTGCTATAATTAAAAGAAAAATGATTTTATTCTTCAATTAATATTTTTTTCAATTTAAAACTGCATTGTTTTTAGTGAATTAATCAACTTCTAATGAGATTATTTTTTCAGTGCTATAATTAAAAGAAAAATGATTTTAATCTTCAATTAATATTTTTTCAATTTAAAACTCCATTGTTTTTAGTGAATTATTCAACTTCTAATGAGATTTGTTTTAACCAATCTGAGACCTGCTTTTATTTTTACAATTTGTCAAAATCACTTTTTTTTTTTTACACTTCATGCACTGTCTTTCAAACATTTATAGCACTATGTGGCTGAAATGTGGTATATGTGTTCATAATACACCAATCTTTAAATCAGTTCATTTTTATTCAGATATTTAACAGATTTTTGTAGATAATGATGTTAGTACCCACAAATGCTTATATTCACTCACTTTAAAGTTAAAAACTATTCTTCATCAGATTTAAATAGGAGTGGAACAAAATACGCATAATTTTTTACCAATATATTTGCAAATTTTCAGTTCCTAAATGTAAATAATGTTTTCATTATTTTACACATAAATATGTTACTAAATATAAATATGATAACAGTAGCCATTTTCAACATCTTTTCAAGGTAACAAAACAGAAACTAACATATTTATGGTAATGTGTAAAATATTATTCTCCTGTTTTTATAACTAAAGAATATTCACTTTTAAGGTGATACTTATCCTTACTCATGTGTTATAGAGTGGGACTCACTTTAAAATAAAGTGTTCATTATTCAAAAGAATGCAATAAAAGTAGTTTTAGCCAGCCTTGATTTGGTTTAATAATGTTTAGGAAGTTTTTAATTCATGTTAACATAAGCTCAAATACCATTACTTGGCTAAAATATGTTTACAGTGCATTTTAATCTTAAATATAATTCTATAAAAAAGGTATAGATTTTTTTTTTAAATTGGTACCTGTATCCTTACCTAGTCACTTAGTATTAGTAAGTTACTTTTTTCTATTCCTTAATTTCAATTTATGTGGTCAGCAATCTTCCCATGTATATATTTTACTTTCAAGCTTTAATTGTGACACAACTGCATGTCTATAATAATGAGATTATAACAGAGTATTGGCTTAAAAAAGACTTGTGTAAACTATGACAAAGACAAGTCTTTATTACTTTTTTTTTACATTCATAATTTGAAATAAAAACTTTTTATAAAGTTTTATTGCTATAAAGTTTTATTGCTAAAATATTTCTAAATAACAATATAAACTAATGATAAACTGAAGATTTTCAAAGAGATGATTAAGAAATATATTTTAACAAACAGTGTGTGCCTTCCTTTGATAAAGCTATCAGAATATGTCAATTCTACTTAACTTGCCCTAAAAGAGTTGCAGTATTTATTTCAATAGGGTCAGAGAGAGTTCCATATCTTTTCACCTAGAAATGATTCCTGATTACTATTGCAGCAATACAAATTTAGCTTTTGTAAATTGTAATTCTGCCTATGGAATTGTTATTTTTTCTAAGAATTTATTGCATCTTTAAAGCATGCAGTCTACTATGTTATAATACTAAAATAAATCAGAAAGATGTGTTGGTCATAACATTCAAACATTCCATCATGAACATTGTCGTTATTTACATTATCACATTTATTATAGATCTTATAAAACCTATTGAGATTTTTTATTTATGTACCCTAAGCAATAAAATATACTTAAAAATATAAAGTGTGGTGTTATTTGAATTAAAACCTATACCGTGTCACACTCTAAAAGTCTTTCTCTGTACTTTTGTACTGGTGTCCATCAAAACAGACACAACTTGATAACGATATGCTGACTAGCATGCCACATTAACCTGCAGGAAAACACCAAGAAGATTTGATACACCAGAGCACAGTTAGAGAGAACACAATTTTGGGACTAGCCCAGAATTTAGATGACTTGGAATCTCTTATCAATGACCTGTTATAGGGAGGATGTCAACTTAACCTAACCCAAACATACCACGTTAGAAGATGATACTAATGATTTTAAATGGTGAATTAATAATGTAAAAGGTGATTTTACATAAGGCAGAATTTTAAGGTTAGAGGTAAAGCACATATTATAGGTAAAATAAAACATACAATAAAGTATTAATATGTGTTTTATCTCTTCAAAATATGTTTATATGGCGCATCAATGGTTGGATGATTGAGAACATGATTACCAAACAGAAAGTTTTGAAATCGGACGCCGACATTTTTGCAGTTGAATTCTTTTTTTTCCAACTAAACTTAGAAATGGATAGTGATGTTATTATTATTAAATTGTTAATTTTATTATTGAAGCTAATATTTTATTAATCAAAATCAATTGTGTTTAAATGAAAGTAATTGCAAATATTTGTAAATAATGTTAAATATATTACGACTATTTCCCTTTTAAAATAAACACTGTAACACTATCCACTCTTTCAGTAAATCGGTAGATCTGTAGATTCTACTGACGTTCTAAGACAGACTAGTTGATAACTCCGGGTTTCCAAATATTTTGGAGCGTACCAAGAGTCCAGATCTTAATTCAGATAATGAAATATACTAGGCTATCATTTTTTTTATTGATCATCTGTTACTAAATTTAGATCTTCTACGCAAACTGATAAAAGTTATGACATCAGTAGACTATGTTGTAATAGACTCTATTTCCTCATAACGTAACAGACAACACTAGAAGCTCTAGATCTGGGCCTACATCTAAATCTTTATTGGACCTATTTTTGTTTTACTGATGAAAGATAATACTCCCGAAAATAGACGCGTTATGTTGTTAGTATTAGTGGAATGTGGGGTTTGAGTTACAATTTTGTCTATTTGCTATATTTGATCATCTTCGAGCTACTTTAAATATGACTGAAAACTATACAACACATATCCTACATTAAACAACAAATTGCACAAGTTAAAAAAATTGCATAAAAAACCTTGTAATAACAAGTATTCTATATAATAGTTTCGCTGTCTGTGTATCTGTGTATCTATCTATCTATCTATCTGACAAGAACGCTCTAGAGAAAACACAAGCAAATTAAAAACCTTCACAGTGAAACGAAAACGAAATCTGACGTCCTATTTAGCATAGAGTAAAAAATAATCTCAAGCCGGAGAGTGCACACAGTAATATGACGTCATTGATTCTCGAGTAAACATTGAATAAAAAGGCAATTTTGTCTAATCTTAAAAGTGGTTTGCGTGAAGAGTTTCATTCATACAATTCTTCGGGTAGGGGCGAAGCCCCACCCTTGAGAATGAACGTCTAAGCCGCCCACCCCCCCCCCCCCCCTAAAACTAAAAAGAAATGTCGTCATTGATACTCTATAATAAAATTACCGCCTAATTAATGTGTCTAATCTAAAAAGTGTTTTTTTTGCAATTTCTTTAATGCAATTCTTCGGGTAGTGGCTAAGCGTGACACCAGTGTTTCTTTCAGACTTTTTCCTCTCCGGAGGGGGGAACTTTTTCTAATCTAAAAAGTGTTTAGCGTGCAGTTTTTTTTTCCAAGCATCTCTTTCGGTAGGGGCGAAGCCCCGCCCAGATTTTTCCTTTAGCTTGTATGATCTACAAACGCGACCAGTGTTTCTTTCAGACTTTTTCCTCCCCGGAGAGGGGTGGGGGTACTTGAAATTTTCGGGGGCGGGGGTAGAATTTTCTGGGAGGGGGCGGACACTGGAAAAAGTATATAATTATCTTTCGTTGAATGGGACGGTAGACATGTTTTGGAGTGTGTGTGTGGGGGGGGGGGGGGGTGGAGGGGGAGGGGGGGCGAAGCCACCTCCTCCCAAGTAGAGTTGCCTGAAAGAAACTCTAAATGCGACTTTTGTCATGAATGAGATTAGGTGCATGGTTTAGGGATATGCCTATGACTATATTTTGTATAAATTAAAGTACCGAGAAAATAGACAGCACTATCAACCTAGCGCCCGTTGTATCCTTCGTCAACGGGCCATTTTTCTCGTCTATAATAATAGTTTTGCTGTCTGTCTATCTATCTATCTATCTATCTATCTATCTATCTATCTATCTATCTATCTATCTATCTATCTATCTATCTATCTATCTATCTATCTATCTATCTATCTATCTATCTATCTATCTATCTGACAAGAACGCTCTAGAGAAAACACAAGCAATTTAAAAACTTTCACAGTGAAACGAAAACGAAATATGACGTCTTATTCAGCATAGAGTAAAAAATAATCTCAAGTCGGAGAGTGCACACAGTAATATGACGTCATTGATTCTCGAGTAAACATTGAATAAAAAAGCAATTTTGTCTAATCTTAAAAGTGGTTTGAGTGAAGAGTTTCATTCATACAATTCTTCGGGTAGGGGCGAAGCCCCACCCCCGCGTAAGAACGTCTGAGCCCCCCCCCCCTCCCCAACTCAAAAGAAATTTCTTCATTGATACTCTATAATAAAATTACCGCCTAATTAATGTGTCTAATCTAAAAAGTGGTTTTCTTGCAATTTCTTTAATGCAATTCTTCGGGTAGTGCTAAGCGCGACACCAGTGTTTCTTTCAGACTTATTCCTCCCCGGGGAGGGGAGGGGGTGCTTGAAATTTTCTGGGGCGGGGGTAGAATTTTCTGGGAGGGTGCGGGCACTGGAAAAAGTATATAATTATATTTCGTTGAATGGGACGGTAGACATGTTTTGGAGTGTGTGTGTGAGAGTTGCCTGAAAGAAACTCTACATGCGACTTTTGTCATGAATGAGATTAGGTGCATGGTTTAGGGATATGCATATGACTACATTTTGTATAAATTAAAGTACCGAGAAAATAGACAGCACTATCAACCTAGCGCCCGTTGTATCCTTCCTCAACGGGCCATTTTTCTCGTTTATGTAATAATGCACTAAAAAGGAGAAAATAAATGATTTTTTAAGAATAAATATAATAATACACTACTATTTAAATAAGTATAACGAAAAGCGTCCAAATTATTTATATTTTTTACATGATACATAGGCCCTCATTTATATGCTATTATAAAAAAAAATTATTCTACCAAATATGGTATATGATGGAATATGGTGCTTAGTACAATGACTTGACTTAGTCTTCTTTGCTCCTTATGGAACAGAGGGCCTCCATCATTTCCTTCCGTTTTATCCGATCCCCGGCTATTAATGTTGCCGTCTCCCAAGACATCCCTGTTGGCTTCAGTTCTTTGAAAAGACTCCGCTTTCAGGTCTCTCTTGGGCTCCCTCTCTTCCGCTTTCCCTGGGGGTTCCGCTCAAGCGCTAAGCATGTCACATTAGGGTGAGCTTTTCGCAGTGTGTGACCCACCCAGCGCCTCTTCCATCTTCTTATTTGCACTGTCAGTGGCTCCTGCCACCTCAATTTTAAAATGTGCATAAGGCATCTGGTCATGTAGGTCTTGATCTTCGCTGTGTTTGCTTTGGAGACTCTCTGTGTCTCTGTTCCATATAGCAAGACTGCCTTGACATTTGAGTTAAGTATCCTAATCTTTGTCGTGTTGGAGATGGCAGAATCGTTTCATATGGGTCGCAGATTACTGTGTTAGCGCAGCGGGCTCTATTCATTCTAGCACGTATGTTCTCCTCTGAATAAAACAGACATTATTTTTAAGTGCCCTAATTAAATGTAAACAACCTACCTCTAGCACGGAACTAAATTCAATATATAAAAAGGCAACAACGCAACAATCAATTCTTACTGCTAACTTCTAACAAATGCAGCCAATATACTTAAACTAAAGAAATAGATACTTAACTGACTATTGAATTTGAGCATACGACTTAGAGAAAAGTAACAACGCTTATTATTAGAATATTACTATTAGAACATATTGGAGCTTAACGTTTCTTAATCTAAATTAGTCGGCTTGGACATCTGGAACTGCGGTTGAATGACATCGACACATGAACATTTCATTTTAACATCATGGGTGTAAGGGTGCTTCACATGAACATTAGGGGTACAAGACTAAAAACCATTGCGCGCCTACTGAACGTGATGGCACAGCCTTTGAACGTGATGGCGCAGCTATCAAACGTGATGACGAGTGTGGTGTGGTTGGATAGACATGCCTACTAATTCGGTCCAAATTTTAATTAATTCATAAAAAATTAATTAGGCATCCAATTAAGTCAAATTTAATTTCAGATTGCATTGTCTTCATGTCTTGACCCACGTGCCAACTGTGAATCGTATCGGTCAAGTAGAAGTGTCCGAATTTTCACTCCGGCGTTTCGATCTAGACAGACTGCCGACTGATGACAGAGGAAGCAAGTTAAATAAAAGCTTGTAATAAAAGCTGGACAGTATGCATGTAAAGCTACTAGCCAATGCTTTCCTGTGGCTGACACCAAATACATTAATGTGTACATGCGATGTCAGTTTTTGTTTATTAATATGGTTATTGCTTTTCCTGTAACGCACGGGTCTCCAAAATATCAGCCCGAGGGCCGGATTAACTATCAAATATCAGTTCGGCGCCCAGAGTTTCTTTCGGGCATCTCTTCGGGGTGGCGTAGCCCCTCCCCCCCTCCCCAAGAAAGTCTAACGCCCCCCTCCCCCTCCCCAAAACGAAATATAATTTATATCGAAATATATACAAGTGTCCCCCAATAGCTCCCCGGAAAAAAAAGTCTGAAAAAAACACTGTTGGTTGCCGAAAACACACTCGAGGTCCAAGTTTGTTCTCAAAT